TTTTATGGTGATTGGTCTGTGCATTGCATGGTCACTGGGAATTATAAGTCATATTCTGTGAACACAGATTAAGCTTTCTAATTTTCAAGGTATTTTTCATTTTGGAAGGGAGGTAATTTTCAAGGGTTTTTTGACGGTGGGGTGGAATATGTTTTTCCAAAGTCTTTGTGTAACTTGGATTAAACCTCTGATCTTTTCAGATATAATTTGTCAGATTCTAACATTGCATTAAATCATAGGTCTAGAAGACAGAGTTATTGCTTTTTTTTCCTGTAATATGTACACTACTAATGTGTGTGATATTTGTTTTCATTTTTTACTTTGACCTGATGATAGCTTCTCAAAGGAAAAGAAAGATTCTGTAAGTTAAAAAAAATTATTACTAGGGGAAAGAAGTATCATTGTTTGGTTTGTATCTTCAACTATGTCAAAATTAAACATGTATGTATATATATGTCAAGTTTATTTAGTAATCATTGAGAAACAAATGAGCAAGTACTAAAGCATTTACCATCTTAATAGGATATTGTATTATTGCAAAGAATTGATGGTTTAAAAAGAATTTTGATTTCAGTTCATTATTCAGTTTTGACAGTTTATTTACTTAGATAAAATGACATTTAAAATGCACATGTGTGTTTAAAAAACAAGAATGTTTTGATAAGACTTTTTGGTAGAAATATCAAATTGTAACTTTCTAGGTTTGAATAAGGCTGATCTTTGACCAATAACAAGTATGATGACAAAAATACGTATGAAATCAGAGTCACAGAACAAACCCTGAGATCTTTCGCACTGTGTAGTACTTTTCAAGTTTGTCAGGGATGTGAAGGAGAGCAGTTTCATTCCTGACTTCCCAATTTAAACCACTTACTCTTTACTTGAAAGGTTTCGTCTGAAGAGGATTGGTTTTACAAAAGCAATTTTTCACTTCATCGACAACATCATGCAAATGGTAACTCTGAAATGCTCCACCAGGCGAGACTTCACTTCAAACTCCCCCAAAGTGCAGATCGATTACGCATGTTCAGAGACACTATTTATCTTACTCAGGTAAGCCATTTTCACTCTGGGGTGCAACAGGTAGCTGCCGTTAACATAAAGAGATCTCGTAGATTCTGTAAACCTTGCGTGGTGAAAAAATATTCAGGTTTTCATTTTGCTGATTTAAAAAAATGATCTTCAAAATAGATACATGATGACATGTAAGACTTGACATAGTTAATTTTTGGCATTCGTCTCTCTTACAAGAACAGCTTACAAAGTTCTACAACAAATTGTGTGTTAAAATGTCCCCTGGCTCAAAATTACTATCAGGGTTGTGTAATTAAGTCTGTAGCGTTTACCAAGGATCAACTGGGACAACGGAACACAATAGGAATCTAGAAACAGACTCATGTATAGTATGGTCACCTGATTTACGGTCACAATGCCACTGCAATCCTGTGGGAAAAGATAGTCTTATCAGCAAACAGCACTGTATCAAGGGGGTATCTTTCTGGGAAATAAATAAACTGTGACTCCATATACAAAAATTAATTTGATCACTGATCAAACACTCAACTGTGAAATGTAATACAATAAAGCTTCTAGGAGAAAACGTAGGAGAATATCTTCATGACCTTGGTACAGGAAAATGATTTCTTAAACAAGACATAAAAAACACTGACTATGAAAAAAAATAATAAATTGGACTTCATTAAAATTATGGACTTTTGCATATCAAAGGCAACATTAAGAGAGAGAAAATGCAAGCCACAGATTGGGGTACAATGTTTGTAATATGTACATCTGATAAAAAGATTTGTATTTAAAATAAAGAACTTCTGTAAAGCCGTAAGAAAAAGACAGCTAACCTATTAAAAAATGGACAAGAACCCTGAACAGGCACTTCCTCAGAGAAGCTAACCAGATGGTCAGGAAGTATATGAAAATATGCTTAATTTCATTCTTAATCAAAGAAATACAAATTAGAGCCATGCCAGGATGCTCCTACACCCTATGTACACAATGTAATTTTAGCACAATGGCTAAAATTAGAAAGATTGACAATACCAATTGTTGGTGAGGAGGTGGGACAGCTGGAACTTTTAGACATTGTTAGTAGGAGTGGAAATTTGTTTAAACACTGGAAAATTTTATGACAGTTTCTATCCAAGCTAAACATTTGATTCTTCTTTGAATCAGCACTTCTACTCCTAGCTATGTACCCAAGAAAAATGAGTGCATACATCTGCCAACAGACATCTAAAATAATGTTCATTGCAGCTTTATTCATAATAGCTCCATACTGGAAACAACCTAAATGTTCTTTAACAGGAGAATTTATAAACAAATTGTGGAATATTTATACAGTGGAATACTCCACAGCAATAAAAAGAAATGAACTACTGATATCAGCTGTTTGGGTGAATCTCAAAGACATGTTGAGCAAAAGAAATATTGAAGTTTCACTATAGACAAAATGAATCAAGATGGTTTAGAGAAAATTAGTGGTAAACACCCTTGCAGAAGAAGATGGTGGATTATAATTAGGAAAGGCTATGAGGAAACTTGCTGGAGTGCTAAAAAAGTTTTGTATCTTGATCTGAGTACTGGTTACATGGGTGTATATGTATGTTAAAATTCACTGAGTTGTACATTTAAAATCTGCTCATGTTACATTATGCAGCTTACTGGATTATTTTTAAACAGCTCTATTGAGATATAATTGACATACCATAAAAGTCACTCATTTTAAGTATACAGTTAAGTGATTTTTAGTGTACTTATTGAGTCACGTGACCATTGCCATAATCCAATTTTAGAACATTCTGATACTACAAAGAGATCCCTCTTGCCCAATTGCAATCACTCTTCTTTCTCTCTTTCAACCCCAGGTAAACATTAACTTGCTTTCCGTTTCTGTAGATTTTAGTTCTCTCAACATTTCATGTGACTGGAATCATACGATATGTGATCTTTGGTATGTGGCTCCTTTCACCAAGTTCTTCCGTGTTACAACATATATCTGCACTTCACTCCTCTTTCTTGCTAAATAGTATTCTTTTGTATGCATGTATCATGTTTTACTTATCTCTCCATCAGTTGATGGACATTTGGATTATTTCCACATTTTGACTCTTCTGCTATGGATATTTGCATATAAATCTTTGTACCTATAATTTCATTTCTCATGGTTAGAAATATGTAAATGAAGTTGCTGAATTATGTGGCAAATTTGTGTTTAACTTGCAAAGAAAATAATTGACCTAAATTTTGGATAATATTTTCACCTTAACGTTTACATTTTTCATTTGCCTATTTTGTTTCATGGACCTATGAATACACACACTTAAGACTATAGGAAAGCAGCTACTTATTCATATGATGTTTTTACTATACTTGTTTCAAATTCTGGGAGAGAAGAGTCTAATCCCAGTCATATGAGTTGATCTGAAGGAGGTCAGACTTTTTGTTAAACATGATCACATTTTAATTTTTGCATCTTCGCATCTACGTATGTACCAATTTTTATCCAAACTCATGCTCGCTCTCAGCAGTTTTCTCCTGTATGAAAACACAAAACCCTGGATGCAAGTTGAAGCAGAAAACCGTAAGCCAAGAGAATACTCTTTTTTTGCGAGGTGGTAACTCATGAAGAGAATTTTAATGTTTCAATGGTAATCTTATCAGTTAGGGAGATTGTGCCAGTGTGATATACCATTTATAAACTTACCTCATAGAACAGAAGTTTAAGGATTATATTGATATCTGTCCCTTTTAAAGTGTTGCAGTTCATGCTAATTAGCTTTCATAGCCAGTTTTCTATACAAGTGTCTCAGTTTTAATGTCTGAGATGGAATGGTCCTCGTTTGTGATTGTGTGAAACTTTTCAGCTGTTGTTCTCCATGGTGGCTTTCCTCCTCCCAGCTGTTCGTTCTAATACTCTTGCTTAATCTATTCCCTCAAACCACCTTCAAAGAACTAACAGGAATAATTATTCTTTCTGAACTCATGAGCATCAGCGGTACCTGGTTGGGAGCTGGTGTACAAGTAGATTATCTGTTGATGGTTTTTGTTGGTGATGGCTTTTATCTGCTGCTTTAGCATGAGTGTCCTCTCAGGCATTGGCCCGGAGTTGGACTTGTCCTTCTTAATTCTTCCCTGGGACTTTCTGATATACTAGATGGGATCTGAGATGAAAGAAATCATAATTATGGTTGATTTTTGCTTGTTTGTTTTCAGTGTTGGACTTTCTTGACTGAGTACAGACAGGAAGCATTAGGCTAACAAGTTTTCCCTCTTGCTTCTTTGATTTTAGAACAATCATCTTTAATCTGTGTATGAGAAGTAACATCTCTGTTCCATTTTCTCTGTTCCCACCCCCACTCCCAGTCCTTTTCCTCATAGTCTGTCATACTGTTCTGAAGAACAGGGTACTTGTCTGAGTGCCACTTTTTAAGATACTCTGTTAAGCAGTCTTTTGGTGCAACTTGCAGAAAAATATTGACTGAGAAATCTGCGCAGTAAGTTCTTTTTGGATTTAGATCCTTTCCTCTCTTCTTTTTCTCTTACCTTTTTAATTCTTCTAATATTCCAAAATAATCTTGCCTCACCTTTCATTCTCCTACTTTATTCTGTTACATTATATTCTAAATAACCTATATTCCTAGGCCCGCCCTTTTAAGCTGTGTCACACAGACCTTGCTGCTTAGGTTGAGGACTGACTATCTGCATGAACAAATCTAAACTACCTGTTAGGTGACTGACTTTGCCAGTGTGACCTCTTGCTGGAACCTAGAAGGAGGCAGGGCTCTGGGCAGTCTTTACTAATCCCTTAGCTTATAGCCCCCTCTAGTGCTTTCATTTCTTCTTCACATATTTAATGAGCATTAATAAGGGCTGGAAGCTTGGGGATGTCCTTGAGAGACTCAGATTCTTTAGGGGTCCATTGTAACTCCCCATGTGCAAGTAACTTGATTACAAGAATGAAGCGAAAAAAGCAAGATGTGCTGGAGAGTCAGGTGTTGATGCTACCTGCTAGCCTGGGACAGTTTCTTGTTTGGTAAGCAGCACTGAGACATGATGGAGATCCAGGCTATGCTGAGCTTTTAGGATGGGGGTAGGGTGGGTAAAGGAGGGGAATGAAGGTGAGATTACTAGCATAGTATATTATACACTAGTATGTCATATTTATATGCATCATGTACTTTAATAGTCAGGCAGTCAGCATTGTTTGCCTGTCTACTGAACACCTGGTCCTGGGCCTGAGGTGGTTTTGTATACCTTCTCATGCAAGTCTAACAACATCTCCAGGCGTCTCTAATTAATTTCCATTTAGACAAGAGGAAGCAGAGACTGAGAAAGGTTAAGTATTTTTCCCAAGTTCTCAGGGCAATGAATGGAGCAGATTTCTGCTTTTTAAACTATAATATTATATCCCTTCACAACTGAGATAAGGGAAATTATACAACTGTTGAGGTGTTTGGTTGCATTATAACATCAATTTTCAGCAGTTAAGTAAAGTAGACTTCAGAAATTTTGCACATGAAAAAAGGCCTTGTTGGAATAGTAGAGAAAATGAACAAGACTAAAAGTGTGTTCTTTGAAAAGACCAACAAAATTGAAAAACCTTTAGCTAGACTGGCCAAGAAGAAAAAAGAGAAGACTCAAATTACTAAATCAGGAATGAAAGAGGGAAGATTATTATTGACCTTATGGAAATAAAAAGGGAAATAAGGGAATAGTATAAGCAATTGTATGACAACAAGTCATATAAACTGGATGAAATGGACAAATTCCTAGAAAGATGCAAACTATGAAAACTGACTCAAGAAGAAATAGAAAACTGTAGGCTTATAACAAATAAAGAGACTGAGTTAGTAATCAAAAAACTTCCCTCTACAAAAATGCTTCTCTAGTGAATTCTAAAATGACATTTAAGGAAGAATTAACAGAATCCTTCACAAATGCTTCCAGAAAATACAAGAGGAGAAAACACGTCCTAATTCATTCTGTGAAGACATTTTTATCTTGATACTGAAACTGGACAAAGACATACCAAGAAAAGA